GTAAGTAGAGGATTTCTTTTCTTCCTTTTTTTCAGGATTTTCTGGGATTTATCTTCGAGTTTTAGGTCTCGTGAGGGCGAGCTGGGCCGTTAAGGATTTCGATGACGTATAGTGATGCAATGTTCTGGTGGTGTTGCGTATGCAATTGCAATTTTTTGGCGTCTGCTATGCAAGATTTTTTTTTTGAGTGAATGAAAGAAACGTTAATGAATTGATTATCGTTTTTTTGGATTTTTTTTTTCTCACAGCGAAAGCATAAATAATCGAGGCCGATTCGAGGAATAACAGTATTTTTTCCCCGACTCATTTGCATACCTTCAGTTTAGTCCTTTATTTACCACCCTGGCTAACTACACAGGCATGGGCAAGCTATAGTACATTTGACACATGATCATAACATCCTATAACGGCATTACATTTAAATTGTTCCTTTCCTTTAACCGATACAGCGCTTATCATTCGCGTGCCGTCCACCAAGTGGGGCGTGTTTCTCCCGTAGATTTTAAACGCCCGACTCTGCTCTCGTTTCGCCTTCCGACCCGACCGACGATTGTGTATAAAAAGGATCATTAAGTTGAACCTCGAGCCGCATGAATAAGAAAAGGAATTAGGGCTTAATAGCTACTCCCCCCTCCCCCCCTCCCCCCCCCTCCTACTTACTGTCTCACCTGTGTTGTTTGATATCAAGTAATTACAGGTACGCATTGTGAGTCGACTTTTTTCTGTACTTTAAACAGTGAGATATTCTGAGTTCATTTACGTATTTGATTCCGCGACGAAGGAGAATATGATAACGATAAGAGAAAGCGAGATAAGAAGATAGATATCAAGTATATTCAATGTGATAAACTGGATTTAAAAAAGGGATAATAAGAAACAAACGTAAAAAAAAATGCATATTAGCTAAAAAAAATGACAAGGCAATGACATTTCAAAGAGAGTGAGAGACACGTTTCTCATTCTTTCGCTCATGAATAATGATGATCATAAAAAAAACGTCTCGATACAACGAAATCTTAATATATCCGTTTAATCTGAAGGGGCACGGGCGGTTAGTGTGCCTCTGCGTCTGTTCCTTCTGCTGTTGCTGTCTCCTTCATTTCTCCTTCTTCTTGTCTTTTCTTCTTATTACCATTCCTCTTATTATATTTTTCTTTTTCTTCTTTCTCTTTTCCTTCTTCGGTATTTTCTTCTTCTCTACTATCTCCATTTTCTTCTTCTTCTTCTTCTTCTCTTTCTTCTCCTCCTCCTTCCGCCTTCTCTTCCTCTTCCTAATTATCTTTATTTCTCTTTCCCCCCGTCTTCAAGTAATGAATACAAAGGCATTTCTTTCCACAAAAGACACGTCGTTGTAGTGATAGCCTGAGCACGCGCGCTGGCGATCGGCATGAAAGGAACGGAGAGAGAGAAGAGAAGAGAGAGAGAGAGAGAGAGAGAGAGAGAGAGAGAGAGAGAGAGAGAGAGAGAGAGAGAGAGAGAGAGAGAGCAAATTAATTTTGAATAAACTATTCACATCGAATTATTTTAACCATATGAGACGATCGGGTGTGAAAGGAAAGCGAAAGAAAAAACGAAAACAGGAGATACGAGAAAAGGAATCGGTCTACGTAATTATTAAAAGTAGACATTATAAGAATCAAAAGCCAAATATATTAAACCGATATGCTATTTTTCGGAGAACCATCGGTAGAAAATTCTGTCTATATTTCTTATATTTTTGTTTCTCTCTCTTTCTCTTTTTCTTTCAAGACTCAATACTTTCTCGAGAAAATAGAGAGAGAGAGAGAGAGAGAGAGAGAGAGAGAGAGAGAGAGAGAGAGAGAGAGAGAGAGAGAGAGAGAAATAAGAGAGAGGAAATTAAGAGAGCGAGAGAGACAGAGAATTGAGAGAGAGAGAGAGACATGACGATTTCGTGTAAGAAAATATAGCCCTGCTGAATCTGTGGCGTTGAAAGCGTGAATGACAGTGTCGAGGAATTCCTCCTTCCTCCTCCTCCTCTTCTTCTTTTTCTTCTTCTTCTTCTTCCTCTCCTTCTCCTTCTTCCACCTCTTCTTCTTCTTCTTCTTCTTCTTCTTCTTCTTCTTTTTCTTTTTTCATCATCGTTTTTTTTTTTTTTAATTTAAGTTCGATTTGTATTCATTCGTAGTTCACATTCTTTATAAATTCTTTCTGTTTTTTATCCACCCGTTCTTTCTATCTCTCTTTTTTAAAACTATTCAAGTATTAAATTGTTGATCACTATCTTTTTTTCTGATCACACGTTAAAGAAGGAGAAAAAAACACGATAAATAAGGCGAACAGAGGAATAATAAACACTATGATAAAAGCAGGAAAGATGGACAAGAGGAGAAACGACAGACGAAGGCTAGCAACGACGTGAAGGGAAGAAGAGGTGTAGGAGAAGAAGAAGAAGAAGAAGAAGAAGAAGAAGAAGAAGAAGACGAAGAAAAAGAAGAAAAGGAAGAAACAGAAGAAGAAGAAGAAAAAGAAGAAGAAGAAGAAGAAGAGGAAGAAACAGAAGAAGAAGAAGAAAAAGAAGAAGAAGAAGAAGAAGAAGGATTGGGAGGATTAGGTGGAGGAGGAGAAGATGAAGAAGAATAAGACATAGAAAGAGAAGACGATGAAAGGGGGAAGGAATACGAATAGGGAAGAAGAAAAGAATAAGAGAAGAATAAGAAAAGAAAAACGTATAGAAACACGAAAAGAAGGAGGGAGAAAGAGGGCGCTGAAGACAACGGAATCGAAGGCAAGTGATCGGCAAAGGGAAAGTTATAGAGACGTAGTGTTAAACCCTCTGTTACAAGTCCGTCTCTTTAACCGGACTGGTACTCGCTTAGTCGGGGTGTTCGGTAAAGGAAGGGAAAATGGAGGGTTGTAAGAAAGGGGGTGGGAAGGGAGAAAGCTAAAAAAAAAAGGGGAAGGGGGGTGGGGGGGAGCTAAAAGGGGTATAGAAAAGGGTGTAGAAAAATTGAGAAGGATTTTTTTTTTAAAGATGGAGAGAAGGTATTTTGTGAAGGCTGTTTTGATATATAAATAGTTGTTGGTTGGTCTAGTGTTGCGTAGAATAAGAAAAATTAAAAAATCCGCTGTAAGCTTACTGTTCTATAGACTAAGTGATTTTTAATTTCGTAATTTTCATTTCTCGATATGTATATTCATCAACGTTTATTAGCATTCATACGCCAATATAATTTGCATAATTTATGCTCGCCTTTCTTATTCACGTTGATGAAACAGTCACATCGAAACAATCATAATTAAAAACTAACTTTAAGATTCGTCTATCAATGTCTCATAATTCGAAAGTCTCGCGTTTCTAATTCACGTCGACGAAACAGTCACAATTCCTTTAAAAAGAAACATTAAGATTCGTTTTTCAATGTCTCAAAATTCGAAACCTGATATATACCGCTCGAACGACTGTGCGAACCAACACATTTCTTTAAAAGTGAATGTCCATATGTTAAAGTTTCCGAAACCACAACATGCTGTATTTGCAATTGCATTCGGTGTTCTGTTGCAATGTATAAAAAGATAATAAACAGAAATTGTCCAATGTGTTTCAAGTTCGTAGACCCGAAGCGATTGACAAATTGGAACTGCGGACGAAATCTTTAGCATTACTACAATTTTCATACCAAAGCTTCATCGTGCAAATTGGTCCGAATTTGTCTCTCGTTTACGTAAGCGGGCGATGCGAATTTAGAGGAAAATTCATAAAAATATATAAATGTGTGTGTACATATATATATACATATATATAGATAAATAGATAGATAGATAGATATAAAGAAAAATTGTAAACAGCAAAATAGCAAATGACTCTCACGTTTTAGAAATGACGTAGTTGTTAGCAGAAATGTGATTCTTGCGCCTTAAAAAATGTAGCGCGTCTGTCCGCTTTTGTCTGTTTTTATTTAGACAATTTTTCTTCTTTATTTATTTATTTTTATTATTATTCTTTTTTTTTGCGGTGCAGTTAACCTAGGATGAGGCGTTACGGGGTAAAAAAAAAAAGGTGAAGAGGGTGGGGAGGGATAAGGGGGGGAGAGGGTATTAGGAAGGATGAGGGAGGGGGGGGAGGGAGGAAAGGACAGGGTATCAAGGGGGGATAAGGGGTTAAAGAGGCGGGCGGGGGTGGGTGGGGGAAGGGAGGAGGAGGGGAGGAGGGGGGGATGGCGGTTGTGGGGGTGGGGGGAGGACATCTCTACCTGATTATGCAGATGAATGATTCACCCAAGATGCTGGTGACGCCCGTGGCCCAGAGAGCGGGGCGGGCGGGCGGGCGGGACTGTGTGTTGTGCGTGGACGGGCGGAGGAAAGAAAGGGTGGTATGTCGAGTATGTAATTATTTTTGCATTTTTCTTTTCTTTTTTTTCTTTCTCTCTCTCTCTCTCTCTTTCTGTCTCCCTCATTCTCCACATGGTATGTTTGCGGGACGCTTGGGAATCACCGCTATTTTTGGGCATGTTGCATGTGTCTATCCGTTACGTATTTTCTTCTCCTTCTTCTCTGTCTATTTCTTCTTTTCTTTCTTCCGTTTCTACTCCGAATTACAATTCTTTTATAATATCATTCTTTTTTAATATCCTTCCTCTCCTTCTTATCATTATTCTTCTATTTCTCTCCGTCTTTCTCTGTTTTTTCCCTCATTATCTCTCTCTCGCCGTCTCTCTCTCTTCCTCTGTTCCTCCCTCATTCTCTCTCTCTCTGTCTCTCTCTCTTCCTATGTTTATCACCCATTTTCTCTCTCTCTCTCTCTCCATCCCTCTCTCCCTCCCTTTCTCTCTCTCCCTCTCTCCATCCCTCTCTCCCTCCCTTTCTCTCTCTCCCTCTCTCCCTCCCTTTCTCTCTCTCCCTCTCCCTCCCTCCGTTCCATCCCAAACCAAGCTATTTTAACACAGGATCCGTAATAACACACTCTCCCACTCGCCGCCGTTATGCACATATCCTTACGACGAAGGACCCGTTACCCTGCTATCGGCCAGCGAGCGGGACCC